TTTTGGAGTCATTTCTTCACTTCTTGGTTTCTGTCACACCCCCACTTCCAATTAGATCATCCTATAGGCTCTATTTTCAACACGTATCCAGAATTCAGTCTCTTCTCAAGCACCTCCACTGCTAATGCTGTGGCCTGAATTGGCCCATGTTTCAACTACACTACTGCTGTTGCTGCCTGGTCTACTTGCTTTTGTTTACAGCCTTTACAATCTCTTTATGTCTTTTCGACACACATCCAGGGTAACCTTGATGAAATGGAAGTCACTCTATGGCCCTTCTCTTCTCGAAACTCTACAGAGGCTCCCAGTTTTCCTTACAGTAACAGCCAAAGTGCTTGTAATGGCTCACAAAACCTGATGTGATCAGTCTCTCCTCCATTGCTGCCTGACTGTCCCTCACCTCTGTCCCATCACTCGCTCTAATCCAGCCACCTTAGCATCCTTGCTATTTCCCCAAAACACTACTGCTTCAGGCCTTTGCACTAGCTATGTTTTCTGTCTGTAATTTTCATCCCTTTTATATCCACATGGCCCACTCCTTCACCTTTTGAAATCTTTTCTTATTTACAATTATAAACTTCCATCCCTCCAACCCCTCCAAAAGTCTTGATATCCCTTATCTTCTCTATTTTTCCCATAGCACTTACTACCTTTAACATTTAGAATTTATTTAATTATTTTGTCTATTTCCTGTTTCTGCTCTTAGAATATAAACTCTGTAGGGCAGGGTTTGGAGGATGTTTTATTTACCCATTTATCCTGAGCACATTAGAAGAGTGCCTGGCCCATCATAGATGCAAGCAGATGTTTGATTTATATGAATGAATAAAAAAATTAATGAAATTGATTTTAAATTATTCAATAAAAATGCAATGATAAACTTTTTCATCTGATAACTTTTCTTTAAGACATTTGTATGTGTGAACGTGTATGTATGCATGTATGTTCTTTCGGATATTTTCCTTGTCCCATAATACTGGGATTATTGTAATGTCTTCAAATGATGATTGCACATTCTTGAGTAAGAACACTTCAACTCAGTGTCTCTGAGACCACTGCTTTTTCAGCCTTTCTTCTAAACACTCATTATCATATTTCCATGTCACATTGTTTGTTTTCAGACTTGCTGACGCTTTATGACCATCTATAAGTCATCTTATTCTTCTAAGTCCATTGTTTCTACCGTCCTCTGAATTTGATTCATAGAATTTTTATTTGATAAATAGAATTCTCTTACTTTTTTTTTTTTTTAAAGATTTTATTATTTCCTTTTTCTCCCCAACACCCCCCGGTACATAGTTGTATATTCTTCATTGTGGATTCTTCTAGTTGTGGCATGTGGGACGCCGCCCCAGCATGGCCCAATGAACAGTGCCATGTCCGTGCCCAGGACCCGAACCAACGAAACACTGGGCTGCCTGCAGCAGAGCGCGCGAACTCAACCACTCGGCCACGGGGCCAGCCCCGAATTCTCTTACATTTTGACCCTACCCACATTTATAATGATACTTCCCCCACCAAAATGTCATGTTTTAATGTATGTTTTTTAGAAAGCAGAGCCTGAGGCAATGATCATAATGTTCACCTTTATTGAAGAAGTACAAGCTTAGGGCAATGATCATATGGAAAAATGATAGTAAGGCAAGGAGAGACGCAAAACAATGAAACACAGTGGGTTATTGCACTAGCCACTCTTCTCAACCAGCTGTAGAAAGACGTAGTAGGGTACTCAGTAGATATGTTCTTCTGGCATGCAGGAATTTTTCATGAAGATTGCAAGCAAAGGCTGTAATTCAAAATATTTTCCAAAAAGACAAAGAAAGGGAAATGTATCTGCCTGGCACCATTTGACTCACACTTCCCACTGGTCAAAGTTTCCCCCTAGACAGTTGACTTCCCTGCACTCTTCTGTTGCCTTGTCTGGCTGTGCAGGAAGCAGGTAGTGTGGCATTTTATTGAAATCCAGAAATGAGTTGGCAAAGATGGGCTCAGCATGTGAGAAATGAGGACAACTTAGGCCCAGTATTTTTAAATCTGACTCGAGCCTCCTCTGAGAACTAGGCAAGGCACCAACAAATCACTGGTGGTCTACAGGGAGGTTGGATTCCTTAGAAATAGGCCATTGGGAGAATCTGAGGAGGTGTACAAAACCCCCAACTCCAGTTATCATCAGCTTTGCTCAACTTCTAGCCATCCTCAGAAGAAAACACCTTTTGAATCTTACTTAATTCCTTCAAGTTCTCTAACTATCATTGGTCACAACCTTCCAAATGCTTGCTCTCTCACTTCCAGTTAATATGCTCCTAACCCTGCCCCTGATCTCTAGCCTTTGGTCCTTCTGTGATCTCACTACACATTAGCTCGCTTTTGTTGTTCTTTGCTTTATTATCCACAACCAGTCAATCCAGGGTTGATTTTGCTTGGAACTCTAGCCTACCAATCAGGAAAATCTCCAACACTTATCTTCTTTATCCGTTTCTACTCTGGATTGCCAGGAGTAATACCAGATGATGTGACAAAAGCATATAAATGAAGGTCAAGCAAACTCATACTATTTTAAACTTAGCCATATCTTCACTGCTGTCCTTTAATCCTTTTGTTCATGTCAAATGGACTCTCTATAACATTTTTACCACCAACTACTGAAACTTTATATTTGCTCCAAATTCTAGTTTATCATCTTACTTCTTGTAGATTATTAAATTTACTGATGTATTAGTCCAAGAACCTTCAAAATGGGCTCATCCCCATGTGAAAATCTTGTCTGAGTTCTTTCTAAGGTTAATGCTTTTACTGATGCCGTGATTCCATCCTGAATTGCCTCCTCTAGAACCTTACTTCAATAATTAGCCACTCTTTTATCTTCATTCTGTCCCACTTTTCTTTTTCCATCTTCTCAAGCTACTAACTAGGGTCTCTTCTATCCTGAAATTGAAATACACAAGAGGGAAGTAAAATAAAGCAATTAGTCACTCTTTCATTTCTGTTTTTTGTTTTTTCAGCTACAACCTAATGCAGATTTAATTATACAGCAAAGACAGTACTCAAGCAATATCATCTGTTTTTAGAGATACTTAGATAAAATATAGTTTGGAGATGAAAAAATATGGAATTACAATCTTCAGCTTTTACTATGTGAATTCTTTTACACAGCTAAACCCAAAGTGGCATGTCCAGGCTTTAGCAGTAAAAGTGATTTGAATAAGTGTCTGATGCTGACTAGGAAGCATAGTTCGGGTAAACGAGCTTGTGCTCCCTTAGACAAAATGAGGTTAGTCAAGATGCAACTTTAGTAACATATAATTGCAATATTCCTTTCCTTATACTTGATTTGTTAGTAGTAATCATGATAACTTGAAAATAACCATATTTCCTGGCTTATAATTTCCTGGCTTATAAAAATAATGAAGCACTTCAGAAATGGTAGTTTGAAGGGCTCTAGACCCACTCCCTGGTGAAACAATCCTAATTGGTGAAAATTATAAAAAACAACCATTTAAAGTATCTGAAAATTGTTCTAGGGCACACGTGCGACTAAAAAAGTGCTTAGAGGAAAATTTATAAATGCTTTATTTAGAATAAAGAAAGGTATCAAATAACTTGCCACATGAAGAAACTGGGGAAAAAAGGAGCAAACTATGCCCACAAAAACCAGAAGGAAAGAAAAAATAAAGACTAGAGTAAAACTAAATAAAACGGAAAAGAGAAAATCAATAGAGAAAATCAATGAAACCAAAAGTTGGTTCTTTGAAAAAATCAACAAAATTGACAAATTATTAGCTTCCTTAACTTAATGAAGAAAAGAAAGAAGAGAGAAAAAGCAAATTACTAAAATTAGGAAGAAAAGAGGGGGCATCACTACCACCTTACAGAAAAAAAAAATTATAAGGGAATACAATGAACAATTGTACAGCAACAAATGAGGGAGATGAAATGTACAAATTCTTAGAAAAACACAACTTACTGAAACTGACTCAAGTATTAGAAAATCTGAACATACCTATAGTAAGTAAAGAGATTGAATTAGTAATTTAAAGCCTATACACCAAGAAAAGCCTAGGCCTAAATGGCTTTACAGGTAAATTCTACCAAATATTTAAAGAATTAATACCAATTCCTCACAAACTCGTCTAAAAAGTAGAGGAAGGAATATTTCCCAACTTTGTGAGGCCAGTATTAACCGAATACCAAAACCAGACAAGACGTCATGAGAAAAGGAGACAACAGATCAATATTTCCTATAGAGATGCAAGATTCTCAACAAAATGCTATCAAACTGAATCTAGTATATAAAAAGAATAATAACAATAACAACGATTATACATCAAGGCCAAATGGAATTTATTTTAGGAATTCATGGTTGCTTTAACTCCCAAAAATAAACTTTAATAAAGACTTTATCAATAGAATATAGGACAAAAATCACATGATCATCTCAATAGACACAGAAAAAGTGTACGATAAACCAAACACCATTTCATGCTACAAGCACACAACAAACTAGGAGAAGGCAACCTCCTTAAATTTATAAAAGGTATCTATGAAAAACCCACAGCTAACATTCTACTTAATGGTGAAACACAGAAAGCTGTCCTCCTAAGATCAGGAACAAGACAAGGATGTCCACTCTCCACTTCTGTCCAACACCATACTGGATGTTTTATCAAAGGCAATTAGGCAAGAAAAACAATAGAAGGCATCTAGATAGGGAAAGGAAAAATAAAATTATCTTTGTGAACAGATGACCTGATAATGTATACTGGCAATCCTAAGGAATCAAAAAAATGAAAACCGTAGGCACTAGTAAAAAAGTTCAGCAAGGTGGCAGAATACAGGATCCATATACAAAAATTGGTTGTATTTATGTATACAACTAACAAACAATTTGAAAATGAAATTAAGAAAACAATATACAGTAGCATCTAAAAGAATAATACACCTATGATTAAATTTAACAAAAGAAATGCAAGACTTGTAAAATAAAATCTACTACAAAACATTGTTGAAGGAAATTAAAGAAGATAGATAAATAAGTGGAAAGACATTACACATTCACAAATAGGGAAACATAGTACTGTTAAGATGATCATACTCTCTGGCTTAGTTTCCTACGGCTGACATAACAAATTACCATGTTTGGTGGCTTAAAACTACAGAAGTTCATTCTCTCACAATTTTGGAGGCCAGCAGTCCAAACTCAAGGTGTTCATAGGACAGCACCCGCTCTGAAGTCTGTAGAGGACAATCCGTTCTTGCTTCTTCCAGCTTCTGGTTGCTCCAGGAAATCCTTGGCTTATGGCTGCATAACTTCAATGTCTGTCTTCATCCTCATATGTCTTTTCCTTCCGCTTGCCTGTGTCTTCTCCTTTCTCATCTCTTGCAAGAATGTTTGTGATTGTATTGAAGGCTCACTTGGATAATCCAGGATGATCTTACCTCAAGATCCTTAATTACATCTGCAAAGATCCTTTTTCAAGTAAGGTCTTATTCACAGATTCTGGGGTTAGAATGTGGACGTATTCTTTAGGGGTCAATATTCATTTACAACACTCCCCAAATGGATCTATAGAGAGAAATAATCCCCCTAAACTTCATATAGAAAACAAGAGACTTTGAATAGCCAAAACAATCTTAAAATAGAATAAAGTTGCAAGATTCATGCTCCCCAATTTCAAACCTTACTATGAAGTTACAGTAATCAAAACAGTGTGATACTGGCATAAAGATAGACATATAGATGAATGGAATAGAATTAAGAGTCTAGAAATAAATCCACACATTTGTAGTTGAATTTTACAACAAGGGTACCACAACAATTCAATGGGGAAATAAGAATCTTTCAACAAATGATGTGGGAACAACTGGATATCCACATGTAAAGAATAAAGTTGGACCCCTACCTCACAACAAGCGCAAAAATGAATCACAAACCTAAATGTAAGAGCTAAAACTATAAAACTCTTAGAAGATTTAGGAGTCAATCTTCATGATTTGGGGTTAGGCAATGGTTTCTGAATTATGCCAACAAATGCATGTGAGAAAATAAAAAAATAGGTAAATTGAACATCATCAAAAGTAAAACTTCTGTGCTTCAAACAACACCATTAAGATAGCAAAAATTGCGTGTCTGATAAGGGACTTGTGTCCAGAATATGTAAATCTTTTACAATTCAACAATTAAAGGCTATCCAATTAAAAATGGGCAAAGCATCTGAATAGACATCTCTCTAACAAAAATATATGCATAGCCAATAAGCACATGAAAAGATACTCAACTTTATTAACCATTAGAGTGATGAAAATAAAAACTGCTATGACTTCAGTCCACGTGGATTGTCATAATCATAATGACAATAATTAGCGTTGGCAAGATCGTGGAGAAATAAGACCTTTCATACGTTGCTGTGAGATTGTAAAATGGTATAGCCCCTTTGGAAAACAATTTTTCAGATCCTTAAAATGTTAAACATAGTATTTCCATATGACCCAAAAATTACACTTGTAGGTATATGCCAAGAGAAATAAAGACATATGTCCACACAAAAACTTGTGCATAAATGTTCATAGCAGCCTTATTCATAACAGCCAAAAAGTGGAAACAATCTAAATGTCCATCAACTGATGAATGGCTAAGTATATTATATCCACTCAATGGAATATTATTTGGGCATAAAAAGGAATGAAGTACTGATACATGCTACAATATAGATTAACTTTGTTCACTGTGCTGAGTGAAAATATTACTCTAAGCAAAAGAAACCAGTCACAAAAGACTATATATTGCATGATTTATTTATATGAAATGTCAAGATTAGGCAAATTTAAAAAGACAGAACACAGCTTAGTGGTTGACAAGTACTAGTGGGTGCAAGAGATGGGATGTGAATGCTAATGGATACAGAAGTTCTTTTTGAGGTGATAAAAATATACCAAACTTAGATTGTTTTGATGGTTGTACAACTCTTTGATTATACTAAAAGTCACTGAATTGCACACCTTAAGTGGGTGATTTTTATGGCATGTGAATTTATCTCAAGAAAGCTGTTATTTAAAAAAATAGAGTAAGCACTAAAAAAAAAAAAAACAAATAATGACTAACTTCCAAACTAGTAGACAGGATAAAAGCTTCAGTCAATGCAACAGAAATCAAAAGAAAATAAAAATAGAGGAAAACTAGGAAATTAAATGTACAGAATAGGATAGCAGAACAGATATAAAATACTACTTGTTACAGTGGAAGTATTTGGACTAAATTCATTAATGAAGAAATATTGCCAAACTGGATTTTAAAAATCTAGCTATGCTATGTACTGGAGCTACCTAAAGCCTAAAGACACAGAAAGGTTAAGACAGCAAAAGATAAACTGGTATATATTAAGCAGAGAAAGATATCACTATTATAATGACATCAGGAAAAAAAAATACTCTTTAAGAGAAGAATTATTAGAGATAAAGTAGATCAATACATAATAATCTTAATTTTACCAGGAAAATGTAATAATTCTAAATTTGTATAAACCTAATGACAAAGCCTCCAGATATGTAAAGCAAAAGTGGACAGAATTACTAGAAGAAATTGACAAACCACCATCATGATGGAGGTTCTAACAGACTCCCAGTAACTGATAGATTAAGCAGACAAAAATATCAGGAAACGCTAGGCTGTAAAGCGAGTCCTAACACAGTTCAAAGAAACAGGATCATAAAGCTGCATGTCTTACTGATTTGTACAGAATAGATAATAATCAAAACAGAGAGAAGTTATGTTTAAGGTACATTTCTATCTGGTGGAGGATCTCAGTTGGCCTGTTCTTTCGCTTTATAGTTTATTTTCATAATTCACATATTGTGGAAAGGGAACTAGGATTTACCAAGTGCATGGTGTGTACCAGGTGTTCTATTTTTAATCCTCAGGCCAACCTCATGAGAATAATTATTATCTTTATTTGCATGTGTGGAAACAGATACTCAGAAAAGCTAAGTGATTTTCCTAAATTCTAGTAAGTGATAGAGTTCATGTTCGGACTCTGATTTGTCTGGTAGTGTCCTGTACCAAGTATACTTTAGAAGTGGGAAATTGTTTCTCCACTAGATGCCTGACTACTCACTTGAAAGTAGACAATGAATTTTGAACATGGGTAAATGTATGTAATCCTACTCTAAGAACAATTCATATAAAATTCTTTCCTTCCTTCCTTCTCTTTATATAAACCTTGAATCATTGAAAAAAATAAAAAAGAAATTAACACTATACCAGTCAATATAAACTATTTGTAGCAGTTTTAGTCCAGAAGAAAATGAAAGCTCACCTTACCAATATTATGTGAACAATAAGATGATAGTACTTGTAATGTGGAGATGATCTCATTTTTATTAAGGGATGGTATGTGAAAGGAGTACAAAACTTGAAGGACAAAAAGGAGAGAGCTTAGCTTTCTTAGAAAAATGGGTATGTCTTAACAAATGAGGTAAATAACATTTAGCCAGTCTTCGTGCTTTAAATGTATTTTATTTATATATCCCATGAATCCTATGAAAAAGGTACAATTATATTTTACACTTTAAAAATGAGAAAAATGAGGCCCAGACCAGTTAAGGAACTTGACCTAATATTTCACTGATAGGAAGTCGTGGAGCAAGAGCAGACACCAAGAATCCGTGTTTGTAACCACCTACACCGTAACGCCTCACAGCTACGTGAATGTCTTTGAATGGTGGAAACACTCCTTCTCTGGTGAAAGCAAATTTTAATTGTACCTTTTTAATAGGATTCATGGGATATATAAATAACAGGCTATATTTTTCTTCTGTTCATTTTTTATTTCTAGTCTAGATCCCTACCTTCGTTTCAGTCAACTCAGCTATTGGACAACTTTGAACTTTTGCAGATTTCCTTTTTGGGGATGATTATGACCAGATGCATGTAAAAATAGACAATTGCCCTGTTTTCTGGGGGAATTCCAGTTTCTTACTTTTATAGTAGGTGGTCCAGAGGTGTAAGATTAGGAAAAACTTTGTCCACTTTGGTAAGAGGTAGGAAAACCAATCCAAAGGACAAAGTTGAGGAAGACTGATGTCCAAAAAGACAAAAATGTACATTCTCGTGTAAAAGAAGACTAGGATACAGGAAACAGGGGATTTAAAGCTAGGCCAAGAGGCTGAATATTGATCAACACTGTACTGGAATAAACCTACTGTACAGAATAAATGGAAAGATTTTAATCTCACTTGTAGCCAAATGCTTCCTGCCTTTATGTCTTTAAATTCCAAGAACTAAAGGGCAAGTGCTCTGAGCTAGGTGAAGTGTGAGAGGGAGCAGGACTACCAGAAGTGTCTGTATGTTTGCAATATGTGTTCTTTGGCCACATCTGTAGGACAAACAGGGTCTCCTATTGGGTACCTGTAGCCCGGCTTGTTTCTCTCTAGAATCTTTGCCCATGGACTACATCCACTATAAGAATACTAGCTATGAAAAATTCCAAGTTTTCCCTCATTTCCATATTTGAGATAAAACAAGATAGAGTTTTTATATGCAAGGTAAAGTGCTTCTCCCATTTCAAACATTTAGCCTGACAAACCAACAATGGTTTCTCCAACAGTTGCAGTGTAGTCTATGGGATTAAAAATCCAAAGGACTCAAAGGAATACTACTTAAATCCAAAAGGATTTCCTTTTATTTTATCTTTTTCAGTAAAAAATGCAAATGAAATTATTGGATTTTTGTTTGGCACTAATTTCGATTTTTGAGATGTGTTTGCCATTCCCTGAAGGTTACAAAGTAGAGCACTATATTAAATGAAGAATCTAATAAATAATTTTTAAAAATATCCTACCAGTGACAAGTGGAGAAGTAATACTGAAAGAGGCTTTGAAGCTCCCACTATTGCTTCATACGTTTTCATTGATATTTTCCACAATACCCAGAATAATGTATTTTACATAATTTGTGCTTATAAAAATTAGTTTTTTTATACAGGTTTCATTTCAGGTTCTTTCCCAAACTTTGTTGAGCTCAAGTTGAATCTGTCTTTGAGAGTGGAAAACCCACTTTTCACTGAAAAGTTGCTGGGTACTTGTGTGTTGATGCTGGTGAAGATTCAGACATCATTGTTGATGTGGGTGCACTATTTATAAATCATAGGTATAGAAGAGCCTCAAAAACATATCCATGTTTTACCAAGCAAGATACAGGGACATTTTCTGCTTTATTCTAGAGAAAACACTTTTTCTCATTTTGTTTCAAAATGACTCTGCAGACAGTGAGAGTGGAAGCTGATTTATTCTTATTATTGACTCTCAAATTTCCAGTAAATCACGTGGTTTCTTTCTTAGAAACATAGAAATTGAACTGGAAACAACCTTAGAAATCAGTCCTGTTATTTTACAGATTTGGAAACCGTAACCTAGAAAATTTCAGCGACTTTTCAGGATAACAGCTTTAGTTAGTGGCTGAGCCAGAACTGGAATCTGTGTTTGCCTTATTCCACCTCCAGCGACGTTTTCCCACTACACACAATCCTATTTTGCATATATTATGCCAAAATGACTGCTCAATTTGCAAAA